CTTATTTATGCTGATGGCATACCGTACCGTATTGTGTTGAACACTCACAAAAATCGTGGTCTTGACATGGCTATCAATGATGAACACATGACTTTTTATAAATGAATTGCATGTATCAATAACCATTGTGAAACTAGCAATATCGGAGGGTAAGCTAAATGAATGATGAATGTGTCTTACCACGTAGATAATTGTCTTCATCTATGTCCCCCACAATAACGATAAAGTGATGGTCTAATGGTTATTAGTATTTGCCAACGAGAAGAAGGTAATTGTAAGTAGCTTCAAGTACAGAACAAAATATTGGTGGAAAAAAATCCTTTCAAGTACAGACAATTGAAATAATATTTTAAAATTCAAGGACTTTTTTTTACCAAAAAAATCAAGGACTAAACCAAGGTTTTTAAGCCAAAATAATAAACAGAAACATTTAGTGAATCTAGAGGAAATCAAATAATGAATTTATTTATTTATTTTTAAACAAATAAATGAAAAAAAATATATGTGATTGAAAAAAAATGCTGTATTCTAAGAAAATAAAAAACTACTTCAACCATCCCCCATCAACAAAACAATGATATTCAACTTTTGATTTACTGAATGTTTAATTTACAGTAATAGTAAGGAAAAATCCTCACAAAATTGACAAGAAATCAAAGAAAAATTATAGATTATACAACCAAAGAAGCAAAATAAATGCTTCACTGACTAAACCACTCCCATTCTAACTTAGGCAACTCCATTAAAAACATAGACTTTGTGATAAAAATTTTACATAAAACTTGATTGTGTTGTAATCAAAGGCACCTGCACCATGGACTTTACTGCATGGTTTCTTCAAGAGCTTGTACTGTTTTTCCATTCTCTCACTTGAGAAAGAACTTCCAAATGTCTCGGTCGGTCATCTCCTTCACCAAGTGAGCTCCAAAAACGCCTTCCTCATCGACCAGACTCCTCAAATGCCTCGCTCCGCTGTTGAAACCGACGTAATTCTTCTTTGTAGCTAAGTATAGCACTCCATATGGTGGCCTCACACACTAGTTTTAAACAAAAGAGACGAGTTTTCGAAGGGATTAGATGTTTATTTACACTTCGACAAAAAGTACTGAAGTCACTTCAAACTTACTCTTTTTATAAGCGCGTATAGTTTCTTCAAAGAGTTGAGAGAATATGGAATTTCTGCCATTAAAATGACATCATATCCACCTTCTCCTTGATCGGTCTCGCTAGCCCTCTCCCATGCTCGGCTTCCCGATAATTTCCTCGATCTCCTTGAGGAAGACTCATGGCCGATGATGCTGCCATCTTGACTGCTGCAACCATCCATAAAATCTTCTTCAGAGAAGCTCAAGCTCATTCCAGTAGGAACTTCAAATCCATCACCCCTGACAACAGATAAGACCGTCGAGAGCTCTTCCCAATCACCGGCATAAAAATGTACCGACGGGGTCAAAGTGTGTCTGGACGGAGTTAAGGGACTCTCTGGCTGTCTGCTCTGCCTGTCCCGAGCTTGTTCGAGATTAGCAAGAACGTTCGGTATGGTTGTGCATCTAACAGTTTCTGCACTGAGGTCTTGAAAGTGCACAATGCTTGCTCCCTGTATGAAGATTGAAGAAGATATGAGGTACATGCACAGTTCCTTCAAGAGTAAAATATACTGCTATGGTATCACTTCTATATAATTATACAACAAACAGGCTTCAACTATCACTTCCTTCTAAACCAGCAAAATTTCAGTCCCTGTTTCAACACTATTAATTTGATATATTTATGGCTTCAGCAATCAATGCTTAAAAGCCACTAGTTAACCTCCTCTGTGAACAATCTCCAGTACTATAATATTACAAACTGCAACATGAACTTCCATGATTTTGTATTTCACAGCAGATCCACGAAAAAGACATGGACTTCTATGATTTTCATTCGGAGACACCCTTGAGTGCGATGTAATAATGTCCTGGTCATTTGTTTTTTGATACCTCGAGTATTTTAACCAATTATGCGACCTCGATTAATCTCACAAAAAACTATCTAGTTGTTAAGAAATTCTAAGTAGTCACTATGGAATTTGAACTCATAACCAAAGTCCGTTTAGTTTTTTAATTTGCCTCGTACTATTAGGCCACCGTGGTGGTTATGTCCTCACTTGTTATTTTACTCGCTCTAACCATTCATACCTTACCAAGAGAAAACTAAATACCATTAGTTGGAATAGGAAAGTTGCAGTCTATTTACTGACTTCTCTCCAGAGAGAGCGGATTTTTTTATGTACAAATACTTTTTGTTTCGTACTCGAGAAAGTACAATATAAGACTAATTGAACATCCGAATACTAGTACACAAAACGAATAATTGAGAACCAATAACAAACCATGACAATATATCATAATCAAAATCATAGTATTAATAACATCTAACAGTCTCCTAACGCTGCTCCGGTCAACCAAACTTGCATCCCAGTAGCAGAAGTCCTAGTCTACAGTGTAACTTTTATAATAAATAAAACAATGGTGAATATATAACATATATTATTTAGAAAACAGAACTCTACATTTATCTAAGTAGAATAATTTGTAAGAACTACAAACTTCTGTACATTTCAATGAAAACTTTTTCACACAACTTGAACGAAATTGCAGTTAAAAGCATCACAATAGTAAGAAAATAAGTGCAACATAAAAGTTACTGAAATGAGAACCATTAACATATTCAACTAGTAACAAACACGGTGCATACCGCTAAACAACATTAAGGATAGAGACGGATAAGAGATGGTTAAAGGTACCTTGAGGCAAGCAAAAACCCCAGGAAGTCCATAGCTACAACCCAGCTGCAAACCACCAACTAAAGAGGTTAGCTTAATAATCATAATATACCAGTATTTGTGTCGAGGAGACAGATTCATAAAAACATATGGATAAATCATGGCGAAAATCCAGAATTTTTAGTTAATAAACTAACAAGATTTGTTTACAACTTCTTCCTAAAACTCAGGTTAAAAGTTTACTTAATGGATAATTACCTCAAGTACTCTTTTACCCCTAAAGCTCAGCTGTCCGTCACGAATCTCGTGCTTCAGGACATTAACAAGATCAATGGAACTGTCCCAACATTTCAGATAACCTACAAAATAAGGATGTTACAATCTTAAAAGCACATGTAATATGTTAATGTTAAGTTAACTAACTGGCTTCGAGACAGATATTTTTTAAAAGAAAAACTAGATTTGTAGTTGTTATGAGTGTAGAAGGATGCATAAATGTACCTTCAGGCTTTGAAGATACGGATTCTGAGTTATTGAAGCCAATTATATCGGCAACGCTAACTCTACCCTGGAGAGAAGGATACCAATTAGCATAAGCAAAGAACTGTCCAGTTCTACCTTAAGATTCCATTTTATCTTTTCCTAGTTATCTTATTGGAAGACTGGAAAACTGGGTTCATGTAAATAAAGTTTCACAGGGACAGATAGCAGGCAACTAACCGGCGAACAAGTGAGTAGAACAGAAAAAACAAATGAAAGAAGTACCTTAAAAACATTGAGACCATGCAAATCTACATTCTCCCCTGCATATTTGTACGGATGAGCTGTCTGAAAAGAAACAGAAGGAAATGTTAAAACCTATACACAACATTTGACCTGCTCCGATTCGGCATTCCCAAAAGCAGGTCTTAAGATGGAAAAAGAAACGGAAGGGTTAAAACAACCTAGAAATTGTTGGTTAAGTTTCTAAAATTGTTTTTCCATAATTATGTGAGATGCTTTGCAAGAACAGGAAGACAAGTATAAATGAATTGCCTTTGAAGGGAGAATCTCAACGGCTGGTGAGGGAAGATGGACATCTCTCTCTGAAATGGACGGAGTGCTGTGGCTTCCTTTATCTTGGGGCACCAAGCCAGGCAAGCATTGAGCAAGTAATGATGGAGCTCTCATTATATTTGTACCTTAAGGAATAGGAACTAAAAGATACCTGCAGCATTGAGATGTCAATGTCAAGTCAATTAATAAACAAGCACTGATTTCAATCCTCATCAAGGATAGTATTCCGACTGAAACCAGAAACCTCATTACAAACAACCAAAGTTCATTTTTCGATAGAAATAGAGCTTTTATTTGTGACAGGGAAGGTGAAGAATTCCCTAAAAAGCCAAGGTGATTAAAAGAAAGTATCCCAATTAGCAATAAGTATCAAAACATCATGTTACGAAAATCTGTAGACAACCAAGGAGAAGACTAGTTGATCCCTATCAAGACAAAATGAAACTGCCATTTGACTAGGGGAGGCTGATCAAGGAGAAGTTGGTAATCAGCTTATCAAATCCAAGCAAATGGTAAGTAATTCTGCCACCATAAAATCTTTCTGAATCCATCTATTAACTTCATAATTCATAATTTCTTTAAAAATGCCTCTTTTGTTCATAATCTTCTATAACCACAGGGAACGCTCCCCCACTTCACATTTCTTACAGGATTTTGGCACTTGGAGCAAGGTCAGAAAAGATATTGAACAGCCGTTCTAAATTGGGTTGTCAACCAGGATCAGATAAATATTAAAGTTGCCTCTTTCCTCTAATATAAATCTCTTATTTCTACTTTTCCTACCAAGGACGAAACTTCGTGCTTAACCAAGCATTCAGTCATACAAGCCAAAGCAACCATTTGTTAGAAAGAAGAAAGCTCAACGGAGACACAATAAAGGCCCCTAATTAAAGTTCATAACAATAAACATCTGCGTAATATGGTGAGCAAAATTGTTCTCCACCCAAAGAAAAACTAACATAAAATCATCTAGCTACCATAAAATGGAATTGAAGTTGCATCTCTTGCAAAATCTAGTAATTTAACCTTGCAGCTATATACATACAAGAAAAGCATTGGTTAGCTATCATCCCACTTGAGGAGACCAATAATCCAAAGAATGACCAGACGGAAAAGCTTATAAACATCAACAAATAAATGACAGGATGAAATCAACTTTGAAAAGATATCTAAATCAAGAAGAAAAGAATAAACTTCTTCCAGTGATCTAGATTAATTTTCATCCTTAACTCAAACTTCTACTTGCTTACTCAAATGCTCAATTGTATAGACAAATTTTGTAATATATACACATAGAACATACAGATCAGATAATAAGAAAAAAAATTGAAATATCTGCATTCTTTGTACACCAAGAAATTGTACTATCATATGAAACTGTACAGCAAGTACCACCCCATATCTTCAATGCTAAGAGTTCAAATTGAAATTAAAATACGAAGATAAGACATTTATAAAACCAAAATAGCAACCAATTGACGTACGATCTTCCTTAAAAGGACATACACCAAGTCACCAACCTTAAACGCTGATAGACGACCAAACATTTTTCCTTTAGGAAAAATTAAGGACAAGGAAACAAGAGTTGATCCATTAACACTGGGAATCCAAAGTAACGTCCAATTTCATGTAAAGTTGTACACATAGAGGTTTGAAGATCTAAAAAAGGAAAGGACAAAATCTCACCCACCACTTTATATCCTATGGATACAGATACAGCAAACAGTGAAGTTGCCCAACAAACACTCAAACTGGAAATTCAATCTCCATATCGTGAAAATCCACCCTGAAAGCCGAGCTCTTCGAGGACAATCAAGCATGGCAACGATTAAAACCCCAGAAAATTGATCTAAACAGTTCGATTACTCGACCAAAATTCCAAGAAAACCGGCACCCAGAAAACAAAATTACAGGCCCCCAATATCAGAAGAACGCAAAATCAATTAAACCCAATTCTCCAAATGCGTTAAGAACACAATCCAGCAAACCAGATTGAAAAAAGGAAAAACCCCATTGAAAGCAGAGAAGGAAAGCTACTCACCCACGGAGCTAATTGCAATGGCGAGGAAGAAATCCCGAGAAATTATGAGACGATCGAGGACCCAGAAGCGTATTATAGTCAGAGATGTGAATATGCATGAGGAAACTAAACTCTGCAATTTCACAGAAAAAGATATATCGGTTTCCAATCAAAGTCAAAAGAGAATACAACGTCAAGAAAGAAACTTTCGCAGCTGAACAGAGCGAAGCTTCGATTCAGACCTGCACACCAAAAGCTGAGCGTCCACAGTAGCCCTCCAAGTTCACGATATTTTCGAATTTACCCAGATGGGTCGCGAATTGCTTTGCTTGACTGGGCTGAGGTGCCACCTAACCTCGGTAATTAAAGGGAAACGGGAGGGTATTTTCGGTAGAGGGGTCTGATTGGGGTAATTCGGTCCACGTGTGAAGGTTGAAGGGTGAGAAAGGGAGAAAGCGGCGATTCGGTCTGTCGTTTCATTGGTATCTTCGCCAGAAGTTGTACGTAGATTCCCTGCCATTTACTCTCTGGTTGCCACGTGTCTCATGGTGAGTGAGTGCTAGCTTTTGGGAAAAAAATATTAAATCATTATGAATTTTGGACTAGTAATTTTATAAAAGAAAAGAAAGTTAGAAGGTAAGAATTTTCTTTACGTTTTTAAATAGTTTCTCATTCTAATAGAATTTTGATGTAGAAAACTTATTTATCAACAAAAAAATTTTTAAAATAATTTTCAACCCTGCAAAGAGTTAAATATTCTAATTTTAATATGATATTGCAACGTAATAAAAGAGATATTATCGAGTTAGAAACATTAGTGTGACGTTCGTGTCTAAAAAACAATTTAATAACTAAGTTAGGGATTGTGTAGAGATTTTAGTGTAGAGGTTTACATTGTTGTCATTATGGGTGGCGAAGATTCTTTTTAGAGTGTCTGGAAAAATTGATACTGATGCATCATACTAAGAACCTAGTACTTAGTAGAGTGTTATTTTGTCCCGGTAATTGGTCCTTAATTTTTCTTACAAAATTTGCTATAATGTGACAAATAGCTAAGTTAATGACATTTGAGGCCGTGTAGGAAAGAATGAGTCACAATAAACTTAACCTCAATTAATTAGTAAAGATATATCATGCTCTGATTTTGGAGACAATAGGCGAATAAGATGACTTTGGTCATTAAAAACATTATTAAAGGGCTAAGGATGATTTGAGAGTTGGGCAAATTTATAGCTCCAACAATTAGGTTGAGTTCCGAAAATCACTTAACCCAATTTAACTAATAAATATCTCTTACAATAATCCAATAAAAATATATACATGGATTTCAAATAAAAAATAAATAATTTTGGAGCTGTTCAAGCTTTATTATATGCTGTATATTTATTATCGGTTTGAATGGGAAATTGAGTTTTCATGTGCGAAATTTCTCTCTGAACCAATCTGCCATTTTATAAGCTCTTTTAAACTTATAATATTGGTCATACCTTTTAGTTTTGACTTGGTATATTATCTTATTTCTCGACTCTTGGAATTCAATTAGCTGTATTAATTTTATATGTATTGTTTTCTATTTTCAGTGGGTGTGGGAAATCTTGGTAGTGCATGTCAATATTTTTTAGGTTTCGTTAAAAAAAATCTTAAAAAATCGTAGGGTGTTTGTTGAGATATCTATATAGAATTAAATTTATCTAACCCATAAACTTAAGTCGTTTTTTGGTTGGTAATTTAATTATGTACGTTTGACATAGTATTAGAATAGTATGTTTGTGTTCGAATCTCATTATTTGTAGAGTTAGATCCTTACAACACCCATTTTTTTATCCTTGAACAAAGATTTCTCGCCTCTAACCAAATTAGATTTATTATTCTAGGTCATTCTTAGGGAGGTTGGGAAACTATTTTCGAAAAAAATCCCTCTAAGTTCTATAAAAATGTGTTTAGATAATTGCTTTCAACAAATGAGTGTTTATATATTTAAATACAATTTGTCAATTTGAACGATAGTTCAACCGTTAAAGTATGATAATTAACTTTCCTCTTCTCTACAGCGAGAGAATATTCAAACTCCGCACCAATATAATGTTATATTCCAAAGAAAACTATATATATGCACGAATATATTTCTATTTGTCTTTCATGAAAAAGAAGGTGAAATAACAAACTAAATGTTATTTTTAAAGTACTTTTCATTTTTAAATGTAATTTATAAAGTATAAAAACTCAATTAAAATACCATTTCTTATTTCTAGTATTTTTTAGGATATAACATGTAATATCTTTTAAGGAAAAAAAAAAAAAGAAAATAGTGATGTCATACTTGCCTTTTATATTCTTATTTTTTGTTGGAACTCTTCCACGGTTTCCAAGTCTTCCTTATTAATATGTCGAATTATTTATTCCGTTTGATTATCTAAATATTAAACTGATCAACCCAATGCAAAATCATAATCTTCCCTAAACAGAAAACAGATTCACAGAAAACCAGAAAGCTTCTTCAATGATCTTAAAAATTCTCCCAGTCCCAGTCCCCACTTGTTTAACACACAACAAGTTTACCTTCAAAATTCCACCAGAATGAGCTTCCCAGTCTAAAATCACCGTACCGATGACATGAAAATCTGTTTCATTGCCGGCGATCAGAGCGACGGCTTGGACGGATCCCATGAACAGTTTACAGAGGAGACCGGCTCCGATGGAGATGAATCCATGTGGCTCTCTTCGGATTCCTCCTCCTCTTCTCCGCCTCTGTTTTCCGAGAGCTGCTGGCGTCTACTGGATTCTTTCCCTGATTTCTTGCTCTCCTTAGTGAATCTTGATGAGGAAGACTCGAAGCTGATTGCGGACGGAGAGCTCGATTTCGATTGGTTTCTGTCTGGATTTCCGAGTCCGTCTTTCCGGAGCGGTTTGGATTTCGAGGTGAAATTAGCAGGAGCAAGAGCAATCGGGGACGTTGATCCCGATGAACCGATATTCTGGCCGATCGAACTGAAAATCGATTGGAAATCAATGGAGGATTGGGACTGGTTCTCGATTTCTCCGCGGAAGGATTTGAGATCTTCCGCTACGCCTCCGAACTCCACTGGATTCAGATTTGAGGGACGGAAAATGAATCTGAATCAAGCGCCGAAGAGGAGGCTCGTCTTCAGCTCGAGATCGGCGGCGTCGGAGATGATGGAGTTGAAGCAGAGGCAAGATAAGAGAGTTACTACTGTTCCAAGGATCGGTACTGTTCCTTCGAGGTTCAACAGAGCAATCAAAAACTCCGCCGGAAAACGTTCTGGCGAGAAATTATTCTGTGTGGATAGAGATTTTCTGGAGACGGATTTGGCGGAGAATGAAGAACTTCCGATTGAAACGTTGTCAGGGCTTCGTGAATTCGATGGCCGTGAGGGAATCGATTCGGAGTTCGATGACGTTGTTCTATCGCTGGATGAAACCTGTAATGAACTCGCCTAGTTTAAACTTTAAACCCTTCTCGTTTTAATTTCTCTATGTTTATTTCACTTTTTTCATCTTCTTAAAAATATTTTTGAATTTCTCCACCAAATTTCAGTAATAGATAGCTAAAGTCCGGTGGATAACTCTTTGATTTTTTTTTTCTTTACTTTTATCTAATTTTTAATGTTTTTTCTGATCATCTTATTTCCCGCTTCTAAATTTTGAGAAACTTTTTTAAAAGGGTGGTTAAATTTTGGAAACTCTAAAAATTCGTTTCCCTTTTACTATTTCCATTTTTTTCTTGTTAGAAGCAGATATTATATATTTTATTTTAACTACGTTCTTAACAAATATATTTTAACTAAAAATAAAAGTTAAATTGAATTAAAATATATATCATTAGTAAAGAGGCAGTGGGTTTAGTCTTCATCCCATAAAGTATTTACTAAAAAAACTAAAACAAGAAATAAAAAATAGTTATTAAGCGTATTTTTGTTTCTATTTCTTTTTTGAAAGAAATAAAAAACAGAAATGATTATCAAGCGAATTCTGTTCCAATTCTAAAAAAAAAATTAGAAACGAGAAACGAGAAACGAGAAATAAAAAACGAGATCGTTACCAAATGAGTCCCAAATTTCTCTTGAACATAATAGTATTTTATAATAATTCGTCTATCTATTTCCGTCAATCTTGATTAACGGATGTATATATATGATATATACCTGAAGGGATATGAGATGATTATATGAGTTATATACCAAGTACAATCTTCATATCTGGTATATATATTGGATAAGGTATACATTCTATAATTTAATGGGCGGGTATATATATATATTATCTATACCACGTTTCTCTTATTAAATATATATGAGGTATGAATAGGTACAATAACATTAAACAAATAATTGAGATGAATTTTCAGAAAATTTTTCGCATGCAATGCCATTTGAAAAATGTATTTTTAACTGAAACAATTGTTTTCTAAAAATAAAATTGAAACAATTGTTGTAATTACTTTTTTAAATAAAACTAATTAAATAATGTTTAATTTAAAATATTTGTACTTAGGTTAATAGTGTCTTGTAAATGCCTTTTTGGAAGGCAAGATACAACCTAGTCTGTTGATATAGAAATTTGGCCTAATGGGATTTTGCAAAATCGACATAACCTTCAAGAATAAAAGGGATCGACAAGACCTGCAAAATAGAATAACATTAAAGACCGGTATGACTCTTGCTACAGGCTCCGATGTGGAGTTGAATCCTGATCCCTCTAGGAATTGTGGAATTTGAATCCTGATACATCTAGGAAATCTGGTTATCTGAATCTGGGGAGAATCTTGAGGCAATCAGGATATCTTCTTCTTTTGAATATAGGATATCTTTTCCTGAATTATAAGGTCATCAAGATATATCTTCCTTTTTGAATTCCTAAGAGAAATTCGAATTGTACAAAATAGGGATTTTCTCGTCCATAACAATAGCCCTCAATCTCAAAGTTGAAGATTGTCAAAGTTCTGCTTTGAGAGTATTTTATCGTTCATGGGTTGGCTATTTTTGTGGAATAGCCTCTTTTTGGTCGCTGTTGATTGTCATCTTAATTAGACTGACTTTCCTAGCCCCCATTCTCTTTTGTTGTAGTTTACTTGTAGTTGTCAGTTGTCGCTTTTTATGGGTTGACTGTCATAGCCGCCCCCATACCCTTTTGTCGTAGTTGGCTGTCTCTTGGTTTACTCTTTGGTTTCCAACCTACTTGGCTTTTGCTAATGGTTTTATACCCTGAATCCAGTCGATACCCTTTTGTTGTTGTTGGTTGTCGTTTTATGGGCTGGCTGTCATAGCCCCCATTCTGGTTTGTTGTAGTTGGCAGCAATCAAGACTCTTAGGCACTACTATACGATGTTTTAACCGTTAGATTTTGGCCTTGGGATCTAACTTTCAACAGGGCCAGTCGTAGGTTTCTAACCTATTTGGCTTCAGCCCCTGGTTCTATACCCTAGGATTCACTCTTGGGTTTCTAACCTATTTGGCTTTCGCCGATGGTTTTATACCCCGAGTCTAGTCGGCCTTGGGTTTCTAACCTTTGTCGGGCTTTTACCCTAAGTTAATCAACACCCCTGGGTTTTTAACCTATTTTGGTTTTTGTCAAATGGTTTTATACCTTGGGTTTCATTGATTGGTTAGGCTTACCTGCTTTTTGTTTTAACTGGGCCTATACACATGCCTTTTTCAGCACCTTGTGATTCTTTTCCCTGGTTTCACTTATTGGCTCTTAGCTTATCGACTTGCTTCTAGGTCTGTCCATGTTCGAGTTCTTTGACCAACTGTTGATTTACTTACCCATGCCCCAACTTGAGGGATTTTCATTTAGAGTAAAAGATAAACTCTCAAGTAGTAAAGATGTAATTATATTTTAGATGTCAAAAATCTTATTCATAATATATAAAGAGATAATTGCTCAAATAATAAGTAATTAATTAAATTTCAGATACTAGGAGCTTTTTTAAATAGTATCTTTGGAAATATAATATCAACATGTAGTTACCAAAAAATCAGCCGTAAATTATGCGATTTACCAAATATGCGGTTACCAGAAAATTAAACTTAAACTCTCGTAATCATAAACAACCAAAATTACACAGCAAACTTACCATTGTCTGAAGTAGAAACTCCGTATGTTAATCAGTTGCTTTTTCTTTTCTGGGATTTGTTGACTCGTTTATCCCAGAGTCTGTTTTGGAATCCGTCGATTTATCTCATCCAGAATCTGTCGTGGAATTTATTGATTCGTTCGTTCTGGGTCATGTCTCAGAACTTATTGATTTGTTTTTTCCTCGGCTACCTCAAGTAGAGGAAGCCCCCAAGTCATATAACATTCGTCGTTAGAAAGTTGTGGTCTACCTCCAGAATACTTGTCGATTCGTTTCTCCCGAGATCTCCTTGGATCTAAGTAGTTCTCGATCAATTCGTCGTCAATCGTCTTGACTTTTAGATCTTAGTCGTCCTCACAGACGGTGCTAATTGTTGATGCAGAAATTTAGCCTCTTGGGATTCTGCAAAATCCCGCCACACAGGCTCCGATGCTTAAGACAAAATCAGAATAGTTGAGTATAAAATATAGAGTGTTGTGAGCATACCTTTAGGGTTTGGCTTATTTCCTTTATAGGAGTTGAATCCTGATCTCTAGGGATTGTGAAATTTAAATCCTGATACATCTAGAAAATCTGGTTATCTGAATTCTATATTTCTTCTGAATCATAAGGTCATCAAGATATATCTTCGCTTTTAAATTCTTAAAGAGAATTCTAATGGTAGAAAATAGGGATTTTCTCATCCATGGTATAATCGAAGTTATAATATCTTAATAAAATCGAAGGAGGGGAGAAGGGAGCTATCGAAGAATGAAGCCAATAAAACCCTAGAAGCCATGGAGAAAGGGGAAAGGCATAATTGTGGGATTCTAAATAACGAAATGTGATTCAATCAGTCCATCCACAAGCACCCTCAACTACTCCTTCTAAAGTCAATATAAACCAATTTTTATTTTTTTTTCAAAATCAATTTTGTTTATTTATCAAATATCAATATTCTAAAGGACTCCCAAACACAATTTAAACCATATATATTTCGATTGGCGCAAAACCGTATACTATTTAAGTAATAGAATACCTTCATTGGCATATAATCCAATGACCTATGATTAGAAATTTAAAGGTGAATTTGTGGAACGTTACTCATTAATTCTCAAATGGATTGAGAAAAATAAACAAGTGCTATGTTCTGCTTGTAGTGTTGGCAAGCAACGGTAGAAAGTGTAAAGTTTATTTCTTCTTTATTTCAAAAAAGTGCTCTCTTCATTGCAAGTGGTGACGTGAAATCATAGTAGAGAAATTATTATGCCAAGTTTTTCAATTCTATGTATTTTGTGTTTAGTTTAGTTTAGTTTTTTTTTTCTTTTTTTTTAAATAATTTTATTAATAAGTTTTTCAGAATTGCATAAACCAGTTCAAACTACTTTTATGGTTTTAAAAATTTGTCCTAGATTTTAAAATTTTATAAAAATTATATAAAATGTTTCTAAACTAACTTTTAAAAATAACAAATAAAAAATGAAATACTTATCAAATGAAGAAAAGAAGTCGTAATTTTCTGTTAATGAAAAATTTAAAATTAAGTTATTTAAACAAGGTTCTAAAACCTAGAACAATTCCTAAATATCTCTACCTTGATTAAACAATATGTGAGGGCTAATTAAATTTTAATCCATAGACCTGGTGGGTTGAATCAAAAGTCATGCCATTGATTATCAAACAAGTAAAAACGTTAAGATTAGATTAATGAATAACCAAAGAAAGAAATTTTATTAATTGGAAATTAAAAATAAAAATAGTTCATAGATTAGGCTATATCATAGTAAAAGAAATCTTAACCTACCAATAAAAACATTAAAATAAATTAGGGGAAAGAAGGGGAGAACACATGGTGAAAAATTATAACATGAAAACATAAGTATAGAAGGTTAAGGCATCTTACTATTTTTTCAAAGGTCGAGTTTCAATTTTCCATCTCTTCATTAAATTTTTCACAAGTAAGATAGAGAAATGTAGAAAAATAGATATGTATTATATTTTTCAAAACTGTCAAATTTTTATTGGCGATCAGCACAAAAATAGGTGGATAAATATGTAAGAGTCCTATTTTTTATCCTCTATTTCAATCACCAAACCTTGTAAATACAAACTCTAGCTCATAACAAGTTTTAAGAAATGAATTTACTATTGAAATGATATAAAGGTCAAGATTCCAACCATATCAATTTCAAAGACAATTTTTTTTTTTTTGGGTAAGGAATTAAAAACTTGTTTTTCAAAGCATTACCACCAAACTCTTCAGAAAAGTAAATGATGTGATCAAATTTGGTAGAAAATGTCTTCAAATCTGTTTCTGTACTGTTTGCAATGGATATCTATGATAAAATACTACATAGATTTTATCATATATTCATTTTGTGCTGTTTTTTTCCTCCCATTCCATGTAAGCTATGGTTGTTAAAAATTCTCCTAGGTTCAGGTGATAACAAACAAAAAAAAACAAAATTAATTCAATTCAGAAAATAAAAGAAAGAACCAAAAAAAGTATTTGTCAATAAACTCAGCCTGAAAATAATATATACTTTGGAAAAACAGCCCAAAAAATAGAATAATTGCTGCCTCATAGTCATAGTCATAGATAGAGATAGTGGAGAATAAACTGAGTCAACACACCAACACAACGGGGAGCCTCAAACACTAAATTTAAAAGATTAATATGATGATGTCATTTTTTTTCTTATTTCCTCCTTTTTTAATAAATGCTCTTATGTTCTTTGTTTGTTTATTTATTTTACAGGAAATAAAAGGTAACAATTTCTTTTCTTTTTTTTTGTGTTTAAAATTTTAATTCAAAAAGTCAAAATTTATATGAAAATTAATTTTTAAAATTAAATATTCAAAAAATATAAAAAAAAACTCTATGTTATTATTATTTTTAATTATTTTTACTCATTTTATAATTGACAATGTAAAACAATATTTTTATTTATTGATGTTTTGGAATAAATGGTAAGATTTGATTTTTGTTGTCAATTTTAGAAAATTTTCTAAAAGTATAAGAAACACGAAATATAGACAATTACCACATGCTTAAATTTTAGAAATGAAAGAAACAGAAATGTTATTAAATAGGTAATTAACGTCGCAACTTTATAGAAATCTTGATAAAATAATAAAATAATATTGATGTTTGTTGATCTTTACTAGTATTAATACTCGTATTTACCAGCGAGTTCATACTTTAGCCAATTTTTGCTTTACCAAATTGTGCTATTCCTTTTAGTTCTCCAATTTTCCATCTTCCCTTATGCATGTTTCTCAACACTCAATTGTAGCCCATGTGGCAAATTAATTTCTTAATAAAATTCCCTTTAAAAAAAAATACTCGTATTTTGATTACTTTTTTAAATATATTTTTAATGTTAATATAGTATATTGAAAATATTAATTGACTTCTATTTTCAGCATCCAACTATGTTGTTCATGGATTATGAATTTCAATAAATTCAGTGTCACAATGACTAAAATCATAACTCACGCCTATTTTATCCCAAACTACTTCCTTCCATTGAATTGGTAAGGTAGAACAACGTCTAAACATAGTTGAATTGGTTAAAATATATATTTCCAAAAGATCATAGGTTCGGATCTCCATATTTATATATTATACTAAAAAAATTATTATGATATCAAACATTATTACAGGAGCTAGAGTTGGGAGAGAGTTTGTTTGAAGTCGTCCCTATATATATATATAAATAAATAAATGATTGGAGACTCGAAAAACTTTCTAAAACTCATGTTAATGCATTATTTTTAACTTAGACATTGGAGTGTGTTGAGTATATAGAAACGTGTAGAGCAAGATGGCTGAGCACACCACACCGTATTAACGTGCAGAGAGGACTTAAAAGGCATTTGCAATAGACTAATTAACCTTATTGGAAAAAAAAAAGAGAGAGAAAACTGAAATTACACGTATATATCCTTTGTTGTAAAACACACCTCACAAGACTCGTAAACATCTTATCCGATTCATGGAAGGGAAGAAGATCCTTTTCAACAAGAACAAGAGAAATCCCATGATAAAACTAAAATGCCACACACACACACATATATATAATGATTATTTAGAGGAAGAAATTAAAGTGGGGGAGTTTCAGATTGGTTCCAAGTGGTGATGTCATCGCCATATCTACCACCCTTAACTCCATCAGCCAAAGCATACGCTTCAAGTTCACCCATTTCTTCTGGACTCAGTTTCACTGATAAAGCTCCAATGTTTGACTCCAGATTCGATATCTTTGTGGTTCCAGGAATCATAACGACGTCGTTTCCTTGCTGGTGAACCCATGCCAGAGCCAATTGAGCTGTGCTGCATCCTTTTTTCGCTGCTATTGCGCTCACCTTCTCGAATATGCTCTTGTTGTGCTCCAAATTTTCCGCTTGGAAACGTGGCAGTTTCTGAACCCAAATTAAAAAACACAGTCATTTATATACTTAATATGAAATATATATATCACTGTCGTTGTGGGACAAATCTCGTATATATTATGGTGAAAATTAACGATTTCTATTTCTTTCCACCTTTCTGTAATCATCTTCCGTCAAGTTTTCAATGAAGCTGGCCCCAGATGATAGAAAGCCCCTGCCAAGAGGACTGTATGCCACAATTCCAATGCCCAGCTCCCTAAAAAAAACATAATATTCAATCAAAGGATTCATCCTAAAAAACATAAGAAAAATAATATTCTAAAATTTAAGGATTTTTATTAAAATAAATATCACCGAGAGAAATTATACATTTTATTTAAAAACTATGAATTCTTTATAAAAGAAATTATAAATATTACACAATAATTTAATTAATCATTAATGATCAGCAATGAACTTTAACAAAGATAATTTTTATTTATAATTTATTCAAACTAATAATGATGGTGGTGACTCACAGTTCCACTATAAAGTCCAATAAAATCTCTTTCATTCTAATGGATTCTTTGATTCATTAAAAATATTTTAAAAAGCCTAACTAAATTCAGTACTAATTGAAACCTATTTCTAATCAAGTTTATAAATTTAAATTCCTACCCTCACTTGTTATATATTCAAAAAAAAGAAAAATAATTAGCTCATTAATGACAATGGCTAAATAGTGTCATTCCCATTATCAAAAGCTTGACAACTCATTAATTTTTATAAAAAGTATTTATTCTTATATTTCTCTTCCTTAATTGTCAAATATTTAATAATTGTTAAAACATTACTCCATGGAGAAATGTATTTAGACAATTTTAAGATCATCATCAATGGCATTGGCAAAAGTTTTTTTTTTCCTTCTTAAGTACGACCATGGGCAAAAGCTTATAAGATACCTGCAAGTAGGAATTATGTCTTGTTCTACATCTCTAGCCCACAAAGACCATTCGATTTGAACGGCTGTGATTGGATGAACTGCATGAGCTCTTCTAATGGTGGAGGCTGAAGCTTCGGAGAGACCTATGTATTTTATTTTCCCTTCTTCTACCAGTTTCTTCAGCTCCCCAATCTAAACACACATCATTTCGCCTCCATTGATCAGATAAATAATGGTTGTAGCATAGAAGAAAATCATTATAAAAAAAGGGTAAATACATTAAATGGTTCCTAATTTTGTTTAGAGTAACTTAAAATATTTTAAAATTCTTTATTTTTGTAAGTCATTTCTTTAAAAAACTAATAAAGAAAAATTTTATGTATATTATGAACATGTAATTATGCTATTTGACACATGAATATACTAATATATATTACTAAAATAATAATATAATAAAAATTTAACCATTTTTTACCGGAGATCTTATGTGGAAAAAGAACTGTGAGAATTTCAATTGAAAACATGAAAATTTCGAAAAGATAACAACAAGTATAATCATTTTTTTAAGGGAAAACTACCCTTTTTTAGCTTAGGTACCATCGTCCTTTTTGCAGGAGATATCTTACCAGTCGAATTATGTTTGTTTGATTTTTTTTATTGTTCTCTATAAGTACACCAACACGTGGGACATCTCAATTAAAAATATATAATAATGACGGTTGAATTATGCTCACTTTGGTATATTTTTTTATTCTCAATTAGTAATGATTTATCATTAACATTTTATTATTAATTTTTAATATCAACTGCGAGCTCTATGATAATTGACAGATATTTGCAACTCCAACGATAAGGTTGTGAATTGATCCTTACCTGTAACTAAAAAAATAAAAAATACCAACTTATTGGCAAATAAATATATTTTGAACTTTTTTGACAACCGCCGGAGGAATATTTAAGGAAAAAAATAATATATAACAAAGAATAACAGAGAGAAAGATACTAACAGTGAGTTCAATAGGAATTTTGGTGTCGATCCGGTGCTGATAATAGAGATCGATATAATCAACGCCGAGGCGCTCCAAGCTGGCCTCGCACGCCGCCCTGACGTAGGCCGGATCGCCGTGCACCTCGAAGTTACCGGCCTCCAGTTTCAGCCCGAATTTGGTGGCCAACTGGACCTTCTCCCTGACGCCGTCCCCCTTGAGCGCCTTTCCGACGAGGATCTCGTTGGTGAAAGGGCCGTAGATGTCGGAGGTGTCGAGGAATGTGACGCCGGCGGCCACGGCGCGGCGGATGAGCGCCACCATCTCCTCCTCCGGCCTGGTGGGGCCGTAGTAGGCGGACATCCCCATACATCCCAGCCCCTGCGCCGATACTTCCAGGCCCTGACTTCCCAGCTTGATTCTCCGCACTTGTTCGCCGCCCGCCATTGATTTCGTCTGATTTCTCCTCTCTTCTTCGATCAATTGTGAGATTTGATGGACTCGATTTGTAGCCCTAATTTATAGGGGGCGAGGGGAGTGATCTCTTTGGAGTGGAGCAGACTTTTTTTTTTTTTTTTTTTTGGGGGGGAAAAGTTCTTGCAAAATTCTCCTGTGGCTGCTGCAGGGTGGTTGGAGTTGGAGGAGGTGTGCGTCACCTCTTGCGTTTTTTTTTAAAAATAAAATAAGTCTTCAATTTAAAAAAATGAAAATATTATTTTAATATATATAATTTCAACTTTAATTCATTTTAGATTTCAGAATCTACTCTATATTCACACTTTTTGGTCTGGTACATAGACCCTTTAATATAAATTTTTGAATATATTTTAAAAAATATATTGAGTATTGTGTATCTGGTTGAAATTGTGGTGGAAAAAATGAGATAAGAAATGATTAAAATGACCATTTTTTAAACGTACATGGACTAAATTAATGAATGTTTCTTTAGTAATCAAAGTTGAAATTACAAAGACGAAATTAATATTTTAACCTAAAATAAAAGTTAAAAATACAAAGGACTAAATAAATTAAAAGGCAAAATACACTTTTTGTTTCTCAAGTTTGAGGCAAGTGCCTATTTGATCCTTAAAATTTAAGATGGACACTTTTAGTCCTTCAGTTCAGATTTATAAAAATGGTTCTAAATATTCCCGAGATGGTTTGATGGTTAGTTGCCCAACTCTTCGTCAAGGGCAAAAGCCTTTCCCTTGTGCAAAAAAAAACCTTTGAGATTCTACTGCTCTAAGCTTTGCCATAGGAGCATATTCAACATAGTCTTCTTCCTCTTTCATGTTTTTTTCGTCCTTCATTTGTACATCCATCCCACTATCCCTTCTCTCCACCGAAACGAGTGTAAGGGTGTGTTTGGGTGTGATTTTAGCTTTGTCATTATAAAAAAATCACTCCCTTATCATAATTTTGTGAAATTAAAAAATTGATTTTAGGAAAGTTTAAAATCAACTTTAAACCACTTTAAACTGATTTTTGTGGCATCACTTGTACGATGATTTGGAAAATCAATCGTGTTTAAATCTCTTTTTTCAAATCACTATTTTTACGATCATTCTCAAGCACACCCTAAAAAATCCAATCACGAATCACGTCCCAGCTAACTCTAGCCCTAGAAATCATGAAATTTCCTATACCAAATGAAGTATTCCATGCGTGTAACAGTCACAAATTTCCAGACGGCAAAACCCAAATGCAGATAACATTTACAAACAAGAACAGAGGGAGCTTGGTGGGTGAGACTTTCAGATCTAGGTGGGTTTCCTGTTCCAGATCTGGGATGGCGGACGACAGCGAGCGCTAGAGCAGCGGCAAAGAGGCGCACAATGGGCGACAGCGGCGAGGAGGTGGCCAGCGGGCAAAGGTCACCATCAAAGAGAGAGTAGGAGAATGAAAGAGGAGATGAAAAATCTACTTACCATAAAAATATTATTAAATTCTTTTGCAAAAGAAAATACTATTAAATTAATAAAACTTTTCTAATTAGCAATACATTCAATAATTTAACAACCACATCATTTGAAAAAGTTATCAACCAACGGTCAACCATTTTAAGAGAAATTTAGAACTAATCCTGGATTAAAAATGTTTATTTTGAAATTTTATGAGAGACACCTATCTCAAATCTTAAGGACCAAAATGTATTTTGTCATAAATTAAATGGTCCCTCTTCTTTTAGATAATTTTCAATTTGATACTTAACCTTTAAAATTGTCTATTTTTACGGTTCATAGTAAATTAAAAGGGCTAAAATTTGTTAACCAAAAGTTGATGTGTTATTAAATTATTGTTTTATTAACATATATTGACAGAGTTTGACATGTGTCCTATCAAATCGGGGTAAATTGATAGATAAGAAGTCTATCACAATCGGATAGACTGATAGGAAGAGTGAGGTATCTTTGTTCGAGGGGAGGAGATTGAGGGTAATCCTAGGTGTTCCCACAAGGTGATCCGTGTAGCAAACGTTTTATCTGGACGTCCTGGATAGAAGCGAGCTCCCGCTCCCAACCAGGGAGTAAATGAGTGCATGACTATTCGAGGCAATATACAAGTAGTACTTTGTTCGAGGGGTATGAGGTCTTTTGTGTGAAACCAAAAGCAAAGCCGTGAAGGCTATGCCCAAAACGGACAATATCATATTATTGTCGAGATACTCAAGATACTTGGGGTACCGTTGTCCTTAACATCTTCAATCTAAGGATCGAGAAATGCTTTCCCTTTCCCTATTTGAAGCGTTATTCCTCCTGCCATCTATCAGAAACTTTTAATATTTTTGTAATCCAACTTTTATATCTAACAATTTTTTTTTAATTCTTCTAATTTATTATAATAAGTTCTTGTATTTTAAAATAATTAGTTAAACTTTTAAAATTGGTTTTTTAGGTTATCGTTGTTAACTTTTTAAAGTACAAAAGTTTAGAACAAAACTTATCATTTAACTAATAATATAATCGAGGAGTTCCCTTTTATCATGCCTCACGCACCAATTACAAGATAGCTAGAAAACTTAAACCAGTATTACTAGAAATATGTGCAAATGTTATAATGTAAATTATGTATTTTTAAGCTTTTTAAGGCAAGTAATTAAACTCATTCATTCGAGACAAATCAAATAAACTCATTTAATTCAAAATCCAAGTCAAACACTAATTGAGATTTATTTTGCCCGGCTCCCCATTTTCTTAGTTTAACATCTTTACATGTGCAAGTCTTTATAAGACTAAAACCTTCTTTCTTCGATCGGTCGTTGACGTTCGTCAAGCAGGCCACGTGGATTGGCCAGGGTCCAATTCGCTTCGCGCGCAGGAAGGCAACGAAGTTCAGTTCATGAGACCGCGCATAATCGATTTCTGGTTAAATACATTACGAGATGTTTTTCCATACTTTCCGCATTCAGTTCTAGATATTTTCGCGCGGAATGTTGTATTTTATTTGCTAAATTGCGAGTTTAAGGGGTCGGATGGGAACCCACTGGAGCCGTAGTGAAAGCGAGTCTTCATGTGGCCGAGTGGTCAAAAGCGACAAACTGTAAATATGTTGAAGTTTTTCTACGTTGGTTAGAATCCTGCCTCTCCCACTTGTTTGTTGTAGAAGTCTTCCTGGTAAGTTATGTCAGCTTTATGTCTCATTTGCAATTTATTGTATCTTTGGAATTTGTATGTTTGGAGCAGTATTATCATACTTCTCGTGGGGTGAGTCGAATCAAGAGTTTAGAAACGGGTTTTCTTTTACTCTTAATATTGCTCATGATAATACATTCTAAGATACTTTTCTTTGAGTTGATTTCATAATTATTTCTGAAATTTTTAGAATTTGAGTCCATGGATCTTGTTTTTTAGCAAGTTCTTAGATATGAAGGATTTCTTAACGCAACATATATTATTCAAGAAAATTAACACACATATACCTAATTTATATTCAATATTCATGACCCTGAAGATGTCCATGAAGAAAGTGGTGGAGTATCAGATTGCTCCCAAGTGGTGATTCCATCGCCATATCTGCCGCCCTTCACTGCATCGCCCAAAGGCGCATAAGCAGCTTCAAGTTCACCCATTTCTTCTGGACTCAGTTTCACTGATAAAGCTTCAATGTTTGACTCCAGATTCTCCACTTTTGTGGTTCCGGGGATGGGAACGACGTCGCTTCCTTGGTCGTGAACCCACGCCAGCGCCAACTGAGACGTGCTGCATCCTTTTTGGCTGCCATTTCCCTCACCTTCTCGAATATGCTCTTGTTCTGCTCCTTTTTGGCTACCTGCAAGTGGGAATTATGTCTTGTTCTACATCTCGAGCCCACAAAGACCATTCGAGTTGGACGGCTGTGATTGGATGAACTGCATGAGCTCTTCTAATGGTGGAGGCTGAAGCTTCGGAGAGACCTATGTGTTTTATTTTACCTTCTTCAACCAGTTTCTTCATCTCCCCAATCTTTCATTTCATTTCAGATTTCACCACCAACCAGAAAAATGAACAAAATAGAAATAAAAGCATGTTCTGATACTAAAATTCCATCTCAAAATTAAATTTATAGTCTATTTATATTATAAACTTTAAACTGAAAGGAGAGAGAACTAACAGTGAGTTCAATGGAAATTTTGGTATTAATCCGATGTTGATAATAGAGATCAATGGAATCCACATCGAGTCGCTTCAAGCTCCCCTCGCAAGCCGCCCTCACGTACGCCGGATCGCCGTCCACTTGGAACCTCCCGTCGAGCAGTCGCAGCCCGAAAATTTGGTAGCCAACTGGACCTTCTCCCTCACGCCGCCACCATTCAGCGCCTTTCCGACGAGGATCTCGTTCGTGAACGGCCCATAGCTCTCCGCCGTGTCCAGGAACGTCACGCCGCCGTCCACGGCACTTCGGATCAGCGCGATCATCTCTTCCTCCGGCTTGGGCGGCCCGTAGTAAGGCGGACATCCCCATGCACCCCAGCCCCTGCGCCGATACTTCCAGTCCTTCACATCCGAGCTTGATTCTTCCCACTTCGCTGCTCGCCATTCCCTCCGATCGGAATCGTCTTCTTCAAAATTCTTCTTCTTCTTCCTCTGCTTTGCGGGTTTTGTTTGAAAATTGGGTATTTATGGACGGTTGGGTGAGTGGTGCTGTGGGTCTGGCTGTACGGTGGGGCGGGGTTGTACGCGCTCGCTCTCTAGCATTTTAGAAAAATACTAAATTGACCCTTCATTATCTTTTTAAATTTTTGCATTTCTCATTCTTAATTGTAAAATATTTAATGGTTATTATTACAACGTTGCTCTTTATTAAAAAGCTAAATATTTTCTTTCCATCTATTTATTTTAGGATAAAAATAAAATATAGTTTTGGTCACAAGTTTAAAGATAGTTTTCTATTTAGTCTCTAAGTTGAAAAAGACGAATAATTTTCTATTTATTCTAGGTTCAATTGGTTAGAAGTAACTATCATTTCTAACTATGATTTCTCTACAATTTCTCTTAATTGTGAAGTACTTTTATGTAGACCTCATTTTTTTTGTGTATATTTCTCACATACTTATGAATAGTATTTTCATTTTCTAAGAAAAAGGTTCAATATGTTAGAAGTTAATAGTGTCGATCTCGTTGATTAAATGTTGACGTCACACTTTGATTACACTAAAGAATCATGATTACACTAAAGAATCATGAGGATATAAGAGGGCTAAAATATTCATTAAAATGAACTCCACACATAATTTGTCTTATTTTTTTTTTCCTTTGCTCATCTCACCTTTATTTTATTTTATTCCATTAATTAATGTATTACTTTCTATCAATCTACACGATACATCAACATTTAAGTAACAATGTTGATGAGAAGAACCTTATTAAAATTAAATTAAAAAAATTAAAGATGTAATTTTACATTAAAAAAAACTATTTTGATCCCATGTTTTTTCCTAAAAAAAACATTTAACTGAATCTAACATAGTAGTATATTAATCATCTAAGCTAATAATTAGATAGGCATGTTTGATAGCATATGTAATACGTCAATATTTAAGTTTAGAAAATTTTTATGGAATGATTAATAAAAAATCAATGATAAGGACTAATAATTTTTGTCCAAATGATTGTTATAGAAAGCATTTAAAAATAATTTCAAGAATGTAGAACGAAACATTGGAGTGATTAATATCAAGCTTTTACTAAAATAACAATAAGGAATCATTTTAAAAGCATTATTTATTGTCTTTTATAAAAATTTTCATAAAGACATCTAAATATCTTTTTTGCTAATATATTAATTAATAAAAGGTTAATAAACATACTAAAAATAATTAATACTTTTATCCGATTTTTGTTAAATAATTTTTAAAGGACTAATAGAAAGAGCTAAAATATACAAACTTTATTATATATAGAAAACCAAATTATATTATCAATTATATTATAACTTTATTGAAATTAAAGTTCATAGCTGCCATAAATTTGTTTCTATTGTTCTGTCTTTATCCTCCTGGTAGAAAAGGCTGATGAGATATGAAATGATTGTCCCTTGCTAAAGCTGCATGGGCTCCACAATTTCCATAATTTCAAGATATCACATCATCTTTATAAGAAAGATGTTTTTACAATTATTATTATTGTTATATCTTATTTCTCACCTATGTTAATTTAAAGATAAAGGTTAGCAAAACTGTTTTACTTTTATAGTCCAATTATTATTTTATTTCACTCTCCAATTTTTATACAAAGATGAATTCAAATAGGTTAAAAAACACTTTTTGATCCTCGTACTTTCTTTAAAGAAACGATTTAGTCCCTGAACTTTAATTTGTAATGATTTAGTCCTTGTACTTTCAAATTTGTAACAATTTAGACCTCAAACTTTAATATGTAATAATTTAATCCTTGTATTTTAATGTTTGTAACGTCTTTAAGTTTCCTATATATATCGATTGATAAACCAATAAGTGACCAAATATGTTTATAAATTAGGAAAGATTAAATTGTTATATGATAAAACTTGACACTTAATTTTAGTAAGATTTTTCAAGATAAGTACTAAATTGTTACAAAATTTAAACTACAGGGACTAAATCGTTACTTTAATGAAAGTATAGGGACTAAATCATTACAAACTAAAATTTAGGGATTAAATCGGAAGGACCAAATGTGTTTTTTAATCATTCAAATATTTTCATAAGATTTTATTTTAATTAATTTAAATGCTTAATTATTTTTAATTTTAATGATTAATTTTTGTTTATAAGAAAGCTAGGACCTAGACAAGTAGAGTACTATGAGAGATGTGAACTTAAATAACTAGGTTAAGACGAATTACTTGGTATTTGTCTTCCAAACAAAAAGGAAAGATTTATACTTAAGTCGTGATTGGTTAAGGAGACTCACTTTACCTATTCACAAAATCAAATTATTTCTTTACAAAATTCTTCGACTGTGTTAAGACCTTAATTAACAACACAAATTTTCAATCCACCCAATCACGTGTTATTTTATTAGGCAAGGTGAATAGTGATTTTCATATGAAAGGTTATAATTTGTTTAAGCTCAAATCTCAAATTGTATATCTAAAATATTGTAATGATGATATCGAATTTCGTTTTCCCGACCTTCTCGTCAAAACATAAGTATTTTAACTCAATAAGCTATGTTTAAGTTGACAGTTGTTCCACTGCCTACCTAATCGTGCGCTTCTAACTTTACAACTATTTTAAGCCTATGCTCAAGTCCAGACCACTTAATTTGCATTATTTTCTTATCAACGAAGTTGTTCGCTTTTAATTAAAATATTCAAAATTTCTATGTTATATTTATTATGAATTTTAAAAATAAAAATGATAAATAATATATTATCTGTTTGGAAAAAAATTTGAATAAAAAATAATAAAAAAAAGTACAAGAAATTTTATTATGCGATGCAATTATAAAAATGTTTCTTTAAAATAAAAAGCGAGAAAAAGAAATACTTACCAAACATTATGTTTTATCAAAAATTGAAAACGAGAAACAAGAAATATAAATGTTACCACCTCAAATATCTCCCGAAAGTTATAAACAAGTCAATTCAATTTCTTTAGCATCCCTACTTCTTTGTTCATTCTACCAAAGCTTACTCTTATTTGCATGTCCTTGTATTTGCAACATTTTGTCGTCCAATTAAGTACTCAAAAGTAAACGATCTCATATCTTAATTTCCTCGAGTAATAGTTTAAATAAACGAGCTTCAATCTCTTCCAGAAATTTAGCCTAAAACATGAGCATAACATCTAACTAGTTGCAACTCCACAAACACATATGGTTCTCCTTTTTCACCCTCAGTCACAATATTAAATCTAATTCTCCTTGCTCATGATTCTCAAATCTGCGACGAATCATGATTACAACATCAAATTAATCATCTCCCCTTAATTAATTTTTCTCTGTTTTGTGCAAAGAATAAGAGAAGTAATCTCGTCCAAGATTTCGGATGTACAGAATCAAATGTTAACGAAAATTTTCACTCCGGATGAGATGCCTCCCTCCTGGTCTTGATGGTTTCCAATCAGCTTTTTACCAAAAGTACTAGGAAATTGTGGGGGAGGACACGACTAATATTTGTCTCAATTTTCCAAATGGTAACATGAGTTTGGTTCACTTTGTTTGGGGAAAGAATACCCTGTACACGTGGAGGACCCCTATTGGTTCTTCAAGATGACTTATGAGTCATGCCCAGCTCGGACGGCCGAGATCACCACCGTTAGCGTTGATGGATGCCAAGTATGAGGGCCGAGGTGAACCTGGCCAGGGTCCGACCTACCGAGAAGCTCGGTAGGGGCCGATGTGAGCTGCTGTCAGCGGCGTGATTATCGGGTGTAACCGACGGTCCCGAGATTACCGGGTGTAACCGACGGTCCCGAGATTACCAGGTGTAACCGTCGCGAGATTGGCGGGACTATCACTCATAAGTAGAGGACCTCACTCCACGATCAGGTACGATGATTTCTGACCTCGAACTAAACTAAGAGTCCGACCTGTACTGACTTGATCGTCGAAGTGCTCACCTTTTTGTGCAGGTCCGCCCAAGTCTTCAGATCGGTCCGGGGGTCGAGTTCGAGCTGTAATCGGAAATACACTGTTGTGCATATCCTTGCATAAACACACTTAAATAAGACTTATATTGCTTTGATTTCTAAGTTGAAGAATGCTATGCACATGAAAGACTTCAGACCGATTAGCTTATGCAATGTTATTTATAAAATCATTTCGAAAACTTTGGCAAATAGATTGAAACAGGTTTTGGATGATATTATTTCTCCTACACAATCAGCGTTTGTCCCGGGTAGGTTAATTACGGATAATGCTATTCTTGGTTTTGAATGTATTCACTCGCTTCAAAATAAAAAGACAGGAAAGACAGTCGTGGCGGCGTTAAAGCTTGATATGTCCAAAGTTTATGATTGAGTGGAATGGCCGTACCTGGGTTTGGTGATGAGGAGGTTGGGGTTCTGTTCCAGATGGATTGAGTTGCTTATGCACTGCATGGAGTCAGTTGAATTCTCAGTCCTCATAAACGGTGTCCCTGGACCTTCTTTCAAGCCAAATCGAGGCCTTAGACAGGGAGATCCCTTATCTCCTTACATTTTTCTTTTTTGCTCTGAGGGTTTCTCTGCGCTTCTCACTAGAGAGGAGGAGAAAAACCATTTTAGTGGCTATAGAGGTAATAAATATTGTCCCTCATTTTCTCATTTATTTTTTTTGCTGATAGCCTCATTTTTTTCAAAGCGGCTCAAAAGGATTGTCAAGCTATTAAGGGAGTGCTTAAGTCCTATGAGAGAGCGTCAGGTCAAACTATAAATTTTGAGAAGTCACAGTTCATGACCAGCAAGAATACGTGTCAGAATATGATTGAATATATCCGGACAGAATTAAATGTTCCTATAGTTTCTCAGTTGGGTCAATATTTAGGCCTTCCCTCACAGGTTAACAGGAATCGATGTCAAGTTTTCAATTCGTTGAAAGATAGATTATGGAAGGCTCTCCAAGGGTGGAAAGGGAAACTTTTTTCGTTGGGCGGGAAGGAAATTCTCATCAAGGCTGTGGCTCAGGCAATCCCAAATTATACGTTGAGCTGCTTTAAGCTTCCTGGAGACCTATGTAATGATTTTCATAATATTTACGCCTGCTTCTGGTGGGGTTTGACTCTTGAGAATAGGAAAATCCATTGGCAAAGTTGGAAACGCCTTTGTGTAAAAAAGGATCAAGGGGGCATGGGATTCAGGGATATTGGAATTTCAATCAGGCAATGTTAGCCAAGCAAAGTTGGAGAATTTTGAGACATCCTACGAGCCCTCTTGTGAAAACTCTTCGAGGAAAATATTTTAGGACTGGATCTTTCCTAAAGGCAAAGCTAGGGAATTCGCCCTCTTATGCATGGAGAAGTATTCTTTGGGAGCGTGAGCTTTTTGAGAAAGGTTATCAATGGAGAGTGGGAAATGGCTATAGCATTTCGATAGGCTTAGACTCCTGGATCCATAGGGACAGCCCTTATAGGCCTGTTTTCACCCCTTCTTCAATTTTTGAGCACCTGGTGGCTTGGCTAATGACTGAACGGGGCAGATGGAATGAGCATAAGATCAGAGATAACTTCATTATTTCGGAGGCCGAACAAATTCTGAAAATTCCTCTTCCTAGGGAGGATTATGGATGATGTAGTTATCTGAGGTGCGGATAAAAAAAATGATATTTTTCGGTGGAGAGCGCTTATCATTTGGGAATGAAAATCCAGAACGCCTCTATGGCTCATTCGTCTTCCAATCCGAGTATACAATCAAATCGCTGGAAGCGTTTTTGGAAGTCTGAGGTGGTCCCTAAAGTCAAGATATCATGCTGGAAGTTTGTAAAGGATATCATTCCCACTAAATTTATTCTTCATAAAAAGGGAATTAAAACTGATATGTGCTGTGTGTTTTGCAGGGCCTATGGCGAATCAGTGACTCATATTTTCTGGGAGTGTAAGGTAATTAAACGATTTTGGAATTTTTTGCGAAATTATAATGTTTGACTTTATAACATTGACAGAAGAAGATGGAACATGGAGGATTATTGGGCGTGGATTTTAGACAACTCAATTAAGGACGAATTTGAAGTGTTTATGCTCGGGTTGTGGGTGATTTGGAGTCACAAAAATAACATCGTTTTTAAAGGAGAACAGCACAATTTTGCGATTTTGTTGGAGCGGACAAGAAAATATATTTTAGAGAATAGCAACAGGAAAACAGCAGACTCCGTGATACAGGACAAATCATATTTCAGAGTAGTGTATTAAAGGGAGTGTCAAGATAGATACCTCCTCCCCTCCATACCTGGGCACTGAACGTTGATGCTTCTTGGTCGACAGTTCATCAGATGGGCGGTCTCGGCTGGGTACTTCGGAACTGGGAGGGCGCTATTATTCTTGCGGGGAACAAATCAGTGGATCACGGTCCTAGTAGCATCAAGGCATTGGAAGCTATGGCCGTTCTTAAAGGGCTTCGGGCGATTAACTATCTTGTGACTTTTCCAATCCGAGTGGAATCTGATTCTGCGGAGGTAGTATCGCTCTTGAGAGGAGAAGATACCGATTTGACAGAAATTTTCTGGGTTGTTAATGAAATTCGTTATTGGCAAGATTCGGGTGGGGTTTGTGATTTTGTAAAGGTTGATCGGATTGCGAATTACTGTGCCCATCACCTTGCGCATCGTGCTTCAGAGAATAGGGAGAGTGAAATGTGGGATTTTTCAATCCTTAATTGGCTGGAAGTTGTGGCCATTAAGGATTTTTCGGTTGATTAATGAAGTATTTTTTCTCAAAAAAAAAAAAGTAATCACTGGATAAGAATAGGTTAAGCAACTGTGGTGTGGAAAGAGGCATAAATGAATATTCTTCACTAATTGAAATTATTCCAAGAAAATAGACATGCATTCATTTTTTTTTTAGTAAACATGTTGGGGGATTCAAACTCACAATCTCTTGGTTGGAGGTATATGTCAATTACCGTTGAGCTATACTCGCTTTGGCAATAGACATGCATGTGTAACGAAAAATATACATGATATTGATTAGATTTGAGTATATCCAATCTTTATCTTCATGAAAATTACAAACCTTCTTAACTAAAACAAAAATAAACGGAAAAAGATATTACTAAGACTAATAAGCTACACCTACCTAATTTAATTTGTGCAATGAAATTTTGGGAATAGATCATGGACGAGTCGATGGGCCATATATTGATAAGTCTTTTGAGTCAGATGAATTCCATCCCAACTAATGCGTTTATTAGGATTAGAACAAGTTGGTACTCCTGGAAATCCACACATTTGCATGATGTTGAAGTTATAATCACCTCCAGCTCCACAACAAGACTTTTGCAGCGATATTTTATCAAATCCTGTAAAGAAAACACAAATTAGAAATGTATTGTACAATAATAAAATGTAATATGAAAAAAAAAAAGTTGTTTTTTGAGAAAAGTAATTAACAAAACATACATACCAAGTAAAGAAGCATGTTGGAAAATCCAAAATAGCGCATTATAATAATCACCGTAGGTAATTATCACATTAGGATTCTCTTTTCTCAATAGCTTGATTGCTTGCTTCAATTTTCTATTGTGATAACTTGATAAGTTATTTAAATTCTTCAAACAGTGAAACTCGTCGTAAGCGGTTGAATCATTGGTTTGAAAGCCGGTGAGATAGATTGGTAAGCAACCCAGTGAAAAGTGTCCCGGAATAACAACTCGAGTAGCACCATACTTGATGACCCTCTATGAAATATACATGAAAAAATTGAAACGTTTAACTCAATAACAAAAATTTAACTTCTCTGAATTAAATTAAACTTGTTTCACATACTCTAGTAGCATATTTTATCATCCTGATAACTTGAGGCACCATATTTTTCACTTCCGCGATAGTTTTGCCCTCAAATAGAGCAAAATTATAATCATTCCCTCCAATCTCGCCAACAAAAAATAATGCATTCTTTAACTTCTTAGCACAATCTGGAAGATGCACGGTATAAGAAAAATTAATATAAAATAAAATGTGAAAAAAAAGATAAATAAAATGTATATTGAATTAACTAATTGAATACTAACCTCTTTTATTACAACAAATAGTATTGAGATGTGTATGCATCCAATCAAGTTGTTTACCCAGAGATGAGTTGGTAACCGGAGATGAGATGTTCATTTGAGCTAGATCTCTGAAAGACAAAGCGGTAGAGCCAGCCACCGCAAAATTCACTCCATGTGTGAAAGATGCATTTTTCTTCAAGTAGGGATTGGCCAAAGGGAGCCCAGCTGCCAAAGCTATAATGAAAAGAAAGTATAGGGTTAAATTGAAAAACAAGACCCTTAATTTCATATATTTTCCTTTATAATAATTTGGTTTTTAAAAACTGCATAACCAATAAAATCAAATTCAAATCTCTTTTATCTTACAGAGAAGAGACTAAACATCATAGAGTTCAATTGGCTAAGCTATAAAAAAGGATGCTAAAATAATAGGGTAAATTTATTATTTCAACAAGAGGTAGGAGATTCAGACATCTTGATGAGTTGAACTATACTTTAAGCTAATTAAGATAAATCTGGACCTTTTTTTAAGAGAACAAAAAACGTACTTAACCAATAAAAACACTTAGATTCTTTCTCAATATTGTTAATAGCCAAACCAAATTAGTCAGGACCCAACAAATAACTGAACACAAAAGCTCTATATTATGCACATTAAAGAAGTGGTTTGCCTTATGCAGTGGATTCCCTGCCACTGAGATTTGTTGTGAGCAACACTGTGACCAATACGGGGCAACACAAGACTTTATGGTAGGTGATACGACAAAGTCCCAATACTACGTCTCATTTTAATACAAAGTTGGTTGAAATGTAGTCACAAATTTGTATTAAAATGTTTCTATTATGTATAAATTTTATGTTAAAATTTTGCAAATATGAACTAAAATGTTAACTTTTAAAAAATACAAGGACAAAAAACATATGCTTTATTAATAAACGTTTCACACCGATAAAAATGAGTCAAAGTAAAAAATATAAGGACCAAAATAGACCAAAGTTAAAAAGGAGAGCCATATTTTTTTTTCAAAAAAAAAACAAACAAAAAAAGACACCAAATAAAGGAGGCCTCAATAATTTTAATACACAAAAACAAAACTGTAATAAAAAGAAAATTTACAAAAATAATCAAGCATGAGCAAGCCATTAGAACAACGCCCAGTGGGCCTGTTGAAGAAGGTCTGGCCATAAGGGAGACGAGAGAAAGGAGTTTGAGGATTCTCCCTTATCAGATTTCCAGTGTCTGCCAAAGAGTCCCCGAACTGATATATGGCATCAAATTTACACTTCTTCAGAACCTCACAATTACACCCAAATGGAAAACCAACAACAACAATAAATAAACAGCCCCACAGAACCGCCATTAATGAGCTTTTTGGTGCATCAGTTTCAGTGATTCTTAAAACTGAAACAATATGGGGTTTTTATAATGCAGCTGCATGCTGCGGTCTTGAATTTGCCTCACCCATTTGGACAGTCCTTATTTGACCGATCCTCGAGCTGGGTTTTCCAAAAGGATCGATTTTGAGATATATTCAACATTAAAAGCTTGAAAATGTATGTTCCTAAAAGCTCTTCTTAAAGAGTGTGTTCAAGATAGAGATAAATTTAGTGCTCTTTGAAGACCGTGCTGCTAAAGGGTACGACTCGAAATATGTTTTGTAATTTCTCTCTCGTACATCAAACGGCGTAGAATTATCAACCGTATATCTATTTGGTTGTGTGATTAGTATTTTCTCCTCCATCCACTTAGAAAATTTTCTACTATTAAACAAACCAACTCTTCTTATGGAGATTACATGATCCATCAATACGTGATCACACAATAACTTACCAAAACTAGGTTTTCATCCTTTAGAAAGCAAAATATTTGCCAGAGTTAGAAATTGAATGTTTGCTAGGATAACCAATTATGATAATCATCACAGAATAAGTATTTGGTCACTTATATGTGACCACTTACGACGCTTGGCGTTTATTTTCTTCCTTATAGAGCTATAGAGAAAGAGCTAATATGAACATAGTTCTCCTTCCTTTGAGGAAGGAGGTTCAAATCTACACTCTCAAAGAGACTCTAACGATTAAGTTGGTATAAGAGTCTTGGAATGAAAGAATATGGTACTCATCATGCCTAAAAGTGATCTAGGGTTTTACCTTCTTTCTAAGAAGTTGCCCTCAAGGTTGGCTTATGGTTTTTGGTGCTGCAATTGATCTAAAATGATAATTAACTAATTAAAGGTTTAATTGGTGCAATATGGGATTAGTGAGGAGTGGATTGAGACGTAGGTTAACGTCATCTCACGTGGATCGAGTTGATATTCTCATTTTATTTTCTTCTGTATTGGAACCCTTTTCTTTTTCTCTTTCGTTTTACAATTTCCTCACGAAAGATGAGGACATCAACATCCTGGTAGATGTCAAAATGAAAATGCTAAAAATTTATTGTTAATATCTAGTGATTTGCAAGGAAGAGAGAACCATTCTAATGCTCAATTAACATAGGTGTGTCATTTGCTGAAACAACTCCAACGACCAAGTCAATTACGTGATGTGAATTGAAAATGATAGAAATGTTAGCATATATATGCCACTAGTATTTAAGGCGTTTGCGAAATATTATTGATCTTGATCAGCTAGCCAAGATAAAAATTCAATATGTGGACCATGGTTGCAATGAACAGCATGCTATATTAAGTAGGATCTTGGGATAAGCTAAGTCGAGTAGTTGATGAAAAAAGCAAGCAGCATGCTACGGCCATGTGTCAAGTAAAAACTTATGCAATAAAAAACAGAAAATATTTGGCTCCTCATCGGTTGGGGACCAAATTTTGTCTTCACCGTCATTAAATGTTTGACAACTAAGAGAGAAAAATGCAAAAACAAAAATATTTTTTAAAAAATAATGAGTTGTCAATTTTCAATGATTGTAAGGACAAGATTTGGTCCTAATCGATAAGGAGCCAAATATTTTCTAATATATTTTTTTTGTCGAAACATTCCTCAACTCATAATATACTCGAGACAGCATTCAAAATATTGCCTTTGCTCAAAATAAATACCAACTGAAATGCCGCTGTTAAGTGTTGAAGGCTCTTCCTTAAACCTCAATCTAATTCATCTATCTCGCAGCTCTCCCACAAATTTGACCTGAAATGAAATTTGCAAAGCCTTACAAAAAATTAAAAACAAAAAACAAAAAATAATCGAAGATGAGCTTACACATCCTTGGCAACCGAGAACTCGAAGTCTATAAATATAAAACATAACAGAACTCGGAGTGCCTAAACCCTAGACCATAAACATAACATATATAAGAAAATGTATGCATCCTAAGCATCAACCATGTTTACTATTTCGGTTAAGGTTAAAAAGAGACTAGCTATGTCTACTTTTAAAAATTATGTTTACTTTCTCACAATTTATTTGGTATGTTTTTCACATTTTAAAAAAAGTGTTTGAATTCTTAGCTAAATTTGAACAACATTTTCAAAGCTTATTCTTTCTTTTAGTTTATAAAATTTTGATTATATTTGGAAACATTCTCAAAAGGTAGATATAGCAAACAAAACACAGATGGGTAGAAGTAGTGTTATAAACTTAATTATTTTACCTTTTAAAAAAAGTACAGATTGAAACTGTTATAAAAAAAGGATTGATATCTGAGACTTAAAACTACAAAAATCAACAGAAACCCACATGTGATATTGAAATTTTCATGTCATCTTGTTCATGTCAATAATTATTCAATCCTTTAATAGTGGGCAGGCATAAGAGTTAGCCTTTTATTGCATGCCATCTTGTTTGCTTTCTAAATGCACTATTAGAACCATAAAACAGAATTAAGCATATCTACCTAGTTTAATATTATAATAAACTCAATAAAATGAAATGTTTCATGCAAATAAAATTGAAACATAGATATTTTACGTGCATAAAGTTATGAAATATGGTGAGAACTTACTTAAGATTTAACAATTGGATCTGCAACCTATGCATTTGACCTTTCAAGATCAATCTGTTTTCTCCCAACAAGTTCGGATAGCCTTCTCTTCAAAACCATGAATTAATATCAAGCTTTTGATTTGAGCATTCTTCTGCAAGTTCAGAGTTGCACCCATTTTCAATCTCTCTGTTCATTTTATAGAGATCCTCCAAACTACAAGGCTTTGCCACTGCCAAAATATCCACCATCCACCGTTTCTTTTGTTTCCCTTTTCGACTTCTGTCGTTTTTCCTCGACATTCTCGAGCAATCCAATGACCGAATTGGCCATTTATCAACATCTAGACATGAATGCAGAGTTGTAGGAGTGCTCAGAGCTTGTCTTTCAGGACACAACATATTAGAAGAAACATCACGGGACATAATCCCTGATGAATGACAGAGTTGTCTGGAATTATATGATCTTTTTCCAGCTGATTCCTCTGTGATGTCTGGCCCTTCATCATTTACAACAATGGGATTGTCTTTGTTGTCTTTCTGCATACAATCGATCGAGCGGACATGTTCGGATGATTGAATGACATAGGGAGGGAGATCAAGTGGTGGCAAAATATTGTTGACACCATGGCTCAGACATAGAAGCAGATACTTGACTGGAAATGGCCAACAATGAAATAAGTTCTTCTGACGACAAGAAAGAGTGTACTGTCTGCAAACAAATGATCATAAGTGACAGAAAAGCTAAGGCATTGGCCAAAATTGTTAAGAAATAGTTTCTGTAATAGAATTAATGAATTCCAGAACAAAGAAAAGAGAGAATAAATCACAAGTCTTAAAAAACAAACTTGCGCATAGACCACTATTAGATTTAAGGTATTAGACTACGTTTTCTGAAGGAAAAAAAAAGTAGTTAAAAGTGGTGAGAAATAGTCCAACGGTGATATAAAAAAAATTGATGCATTTAAAGACCATGATTTTTTAAAGCTGTGATCCAAACCTAACTAGTAACTATAGACCACGGTAGAGATTATTTAGACTACGACTAACGTGAACTGCAATATGTAAACTACGGTAGAATTGTAGTTTATTTTTAGTGAAATTTCTAGTGGATTACACCACAGCCAAGTGACCATGGTCGATACTTATATAGACCATAGTCATATAATTGTAGTTTTGAACAATAATACTTCTCTACTGACTGGACAACAGGAACCACAAACCACTAAGTTGTGAATAAGTGTTTATCATTTCAAGACAAATTCACTCCGTTTTTTTACAGAGTTATGTTATTAGTTCTTACTTGGTGTAAATGTTACTATCTTTTGCAAAATTATAATCTTATTGACCTTATAGTAAATTGGACAGCTCTTTTGTAATCTTATATCCGGGCCATCTATTGTAATTTCATTCATCAATAAAATCTACGTTTCTTACCTAAAAAGGAAAAAAAAAAAAAGAAGTGTTTACCGCTTGAAGAAAAACGAAAATCTCTCTCTCTTTCTCTCCCACTGGCCTGTCAACAACTTAGTGATAGTCAACAAGGAAGTATTATCCGTAGTATTTTATCAAAACTCAATAGTGATGAAGTTTAGACAAAGTAAGAAAAAAGGCTAAAGACTTGTGAAAACAAACCACAGAGTAGGCCGGCTAAATTCTTCAAACTTACAATAACGAGTTGAAAAACTTCTTGACGATATGCAATTGCAAAGAGAAACAAGCAGAAAAGTTTTATTTCATATCAGCATCTCTTTGGATCATTAAGATTGTGAAATGGAACAAAAGAAAGGGGAAACATTCATGTACGTAGTTTGGGGAAAAAAAGAAAAAAAAAAAAAAAGCAAGAAGTGATAATCCACTTCTAAGAACATAAAATAATAGCAAAATTTACAACTCGGAACTATGAAATTAAAATTTTACCTTATTGAGAAAAGTTTCGGGTGATTTTGCTCTTGGTTTTCGTCCGCTGGACTCATATTCTCGCCGCGCCTAATAATGTCAAATCGCGAACAAACTTAAAGAGCAGATTCAAATGTTAACCTCAGCAAGCGAACTCGTAACTTGAAATCTCTCAGGTCGCGGGAGAACAAATTATAAAAGGTAAATAAAATTACTGGTAGGAGAAACAAGTCGTTCAGTTCAGAGAGAATAATGAGGAAGAAAGATGAAGAAGTAGGGCAAAAATGAAGATCAAATGGAAGAAGAAGAAGGAAGAATGTAATGAACAAAAACGCAACGCATTTCACAGTGAATTTCTTGATTTCTTCACTTACCTAAGCGATTGGCGAAGTGAGTGGTTCGATTTTTTGGCGCGGGAGAGTGAAAATTTTCGAAACGCAGAGGATTTTCAGTAAGGATAATTATTTCTCTTGTAGTTTCGAATGAAGAAGATCAACGTTATATTTGTGTATGCAGAAACAGAAGCAGAGGCGACTCTGTCTCCATTTTCATGATTTGTGTCATCTTCTTCATTCTTCAACGATGGGGTCAGTGGCAGTGGCAGTGGGAGATGAACTATTTCTTCACTCCCAAGACTTCCATTCATTGATTCATCATAAATGTTACCTAATCATGAGTCAGTTTTATTACTTTTTTTAGTTTTTAACTATTTATTATTTTTTTATAGAAAAACTATTTATTATTTTTATAAGAAAAAAATATTTATTTTCTCTCCACTTTCTACCCAAAAATACTCTTAAGATCGATTAATTTTAACACAAGCAGGCGGGAGTAAAGTAGATAATGAGATAAGAGAACAACTTACAACGTGGAGAACGGAGGAAAGTCGTAAGGATAAGGTCTTACTTCAAGTCTCCTTTTGGAGAGACCAACCTTCCATACTTAGTTACAAATGTCGGATAGAAACTCTCTTGCATTGAAGGTATGACCGAGGTCCGACCATAAGTATCCGACAACCCAATTTTTGAGACGAAAGATGATATGCCGACATCATGTATCGCATAATTTGGTTTCATTATACAAACCATCCACGTTAGTTCTAATTAAAATAACATAACTCTTGAAACAACCCATTAAAATCAAAGTTTATCTTTTTTTAGTACAACAAATTGCAGGTACGAAAGTTTGAACCTTCGAGCTC